AGCCTGGTGACAGAGCCAGTTAGCCCTGTGGCCAGGATGCCAGCAAGCACTCCAACAAGCCCTGAGAGCAGGACTTCCTCCAGATAAAGGACAGCACTACCATAATTACCTTATCACTCCCAGGCCGCAGAGACTACACCTCCCGGCAGGCCCCGCGCGGGCCCGGCGGCGTGGTGGGCCGGGCCTCGGCCGTCTTCCCGGTTGCTGGGGCGGTGGCCTGGGACACGTCGGGGAGAGACGTGGGGGCGGGGCAGGAGGATGCGCCGAGGGGCATGCTGGGGTGTGTAGTTTTTGTGCACCACGGGGCTTGGCTCCAGAATTGAACGCAGCTTCTCTGATGTCATTGCCTACAGCTGCGAGACCCAGGGATCTTTAAACATAGGTTTGGTTTGTGGCTAGCACCAGTCCCACCGGGCAGCGTGGCCCCCTCGGGAAAGTGCTCCAGGAGCCTGGACTCTGGAGAATAGATAGATACCCATGGCTACCTGGGGGATCTACCTACCTTATTTCTCAGAGCCTCACGACTTTCTCACAGGAAAAGGTGGATGATAATAGTCCCGTTTCACCGCCTCCTAATGAATCATAAGTAGGATGAGGCCTGGCGTGGCCCTTACCATCCCAAGGTGAGCCCACATGAGTGTCGGAGTAGAATTGCTCCAGTGACTGATGTTTTATAAGCAGGCGGCCAAGACTCTTCTGGGACTGAGTACCTCTCCGTGGACGCCCAAGCTTTCAAACTTTTGATCTGTCAAGCGTTTGCGCCGCTGGAGGACCCTGGCATGCATTTTTAAAGAGAGCGGGGAGAAAGAGAAATAAAACCTGCTGCAGTTAGAGCGGACTGCAACCCAGGGCAACGCTGTACGACCGAGTTGAACAGGCCCACAGGGTTCAAGGTGGTAAACAGATGGCCACATCTTTTTCCTTCTGAGCAATTAGGGGGTTAGAATCACCGACCTTTTGGTTAAGCTGCGAGCACTTAACCACTGCGCCGCCAGGGCCCTTTGGTGCGTGCTGAAACCCAGAACCAAACCTTGCCATGGGGTTGATTCCGACTGAGAGCGTCCCTATAGGACATAGTAGAACAGCTCCTTTGGGTTTGGGGGGCTGTCAGTCTTCACGGACATAAATTTGGAGTGGCTGGTGGGCAACCTTTCGGAAGGAGATTGCCGAAACTGCTAACCTTTCAGCTATTAGTCAAGCACAAGCTTCTGCACCACCCAGAAGCCCCTTGTGAATGTTAGCAGTTGTAATATTTAATTTAGCTCAAGACCCGAGCCAACCTGACCAAAGCAGAAGAGCCGTTCAGAGTCTGGGCTGGGCAGTGGATGGGCTCTAGACCCACATCTTTTGGGAGCCGGAGATGCAAGTATGCATGGTGGGGGGATCAGGGCTCGGTGGGGAGCAGGTGCCACTGTGGGTTAAGCATTGATTGGGCTGCTAACCACACGTTGGCACTTCAAGCTTACCAGCCACTCTTTGGGCAGAAGATGAAGCAGTCTACTTCTGACCTGACTTACAGTCTGGAATCCTGGACAGTTCTACTGGGCCCTGGAGCGTCACTATGGGTTGGAATCAACTTGGCAACAGTAGACTTGGTTGGGGGATTGGAAGGCAGGGACCTGTGGGTGGGCTGCTTGGGAAGCCATGCTTCATGACTTATAAGGGCCAGGTTGTGACTATAAGGAGGGGTCGGATGTGGTGCCCCAAGTGCCCTCCACTATCCCAATCCCCTGGTCAATCAATCAATCAATCAAAAATGGACTTAATGTATTATGGCAGAAATAGTTAAGTCAAAATATATTATCTTCTCATTTGATCTTCCTCTTGACCCATTTGAAAGCTGTTTTAATTTTGAAAATATAGTGAAGGGGAAATGCATATGGATTCAGCCCCTGGTGAATCCCCTCTGACCGTGGACCACGGATCTGAATAGCCTTGCTAACATGCAGGATGCACTGGAAAATGGACTGTTGCAGACGCAGTTAGGTTAAAATTTAGTACCCCATCATTTGATCTCATAAGCCATTCAAATTTCTCCTAGTTTTTAATATTTTCTGCTATCTTTTCCATTGGGGTTTTATCTATTTTACTTTGTTATTCTCGTCAGTTTTCTTGTTTTGTTTGTTTTTTAGTGTTTCTTTGCTGTCTATGAAATCCAGGTTAGTTAAGTCAATAGAGACAGTCACTGGATCATTGCTTCCTTGGGGAAATGGCAGGGAGATTGGGGGAACTGGGGAACTAATAATGATGAAGACAATGTTCTAAGACTGATTGCCGTGATGATTGTACAACTCTTCTTGGTCTGATTGAACTATTGAGTTGTAGGATATGTGAATTATATGCCAATAAAACTGTTGGGAAAAGAAGAGACTTAAGTAGGCTAGTCCCTGTATATCGAAACCATTAAGGTACTCGGCTTCCGACTGAGAGATTGGAGATTACAATCCACCCACCCATGCCTTGGAAGAAAGGGCTGCCACTCTGCTTCGGAAAAGCCAGTCACTGAAAATCCTGGGGAGCCCAGTTCTGTCTAGTCTGGCATCTCAGAGTGGACTTAACAGCTGCTAGCTCAGTGGTCACTCTGGTCACTCATTTCAGCCATCACCTGTTCTTCCTCCTTCAGAAATGGCTTTGCTCCCAACTAAAAGCTCAAAGTTCACCCTCCCCCCACCCCCCAGCCTCACAGCCTCAGCCCTAACAATAGCACGCCTTCCCGACCCCCTCGTGTGTAAATACATCTTTGTCCCCGGCTGGCATTTAATAATGGTACTTTATGGAGAAACAAAAGCTATAATCAGAGCCCAACAAGGGAAACTGCAGTCAGTTCTGAACAATACTCAGAATTCCCATGGCGAGCCCCCCACTCCCTGCAAGCACAGCTGTGAGAACCAGGAGTCTCAAACATGAAGTCCATTCACAGGGATTTGCCCAGGTCCAGTGCAGCTTGTTGGAGTCAGGGCTTTCTTGCTTCCTCCATGGGCTGAGGAGCTTGGCTGAGGAGGGATGCCAGGCCCCCGGCCCCTCCCAGGGCAGCCCGTGCAGGTGTGCTGGGGGATGGGGAGGCAGGCTAGCCTGAGGAGCCTGCAGAGCAGCCTGGTGACAGAGCCAGTTAGCCCTGTGGCCAGGATGCCAGCAAGCACTCCAACAAGCCCTGAGAGCAGGACTTCCTCCAGATAAAGGACAGCTCTGCCCTGATTTCCTTATCCGGCCCTCGGTCTGTACTTTCCAGAATCAGCCCACTGGCTTCTCCCACACCAAGTCTAAGAAACTGGGAGAGGACGAGGTGTTTCATGGAGACAAACCCAACATTTCAAAACGCACTGCCAGCCAGTGGTTCCAACTCAGAGTGACCGTACAGGACAGAGGAACAACCCTTGTGGGTTTCCAAGACCGTAATTCTTTCTGAGAGCAGAAAACCTCATCTTTTCCCCTCAGATCAGCTGGCGGTTTCAAACTGCTGACCTTGCAGTTAGCAGCTCAATGCATAACCTGCTGCGCCACTAGGGCTCAATCCCACCCACAGGTCAGAATCACTGGAAAGGTGCTAAAAACAATTTCATGACAGGCTTCTTACCTTCCAACCCTCTGACCCCCCCAAATCTACCCCTCACCAAATAAATCAAAATCTCTGGCCGTGGAGTACTGGCATTTGGATTCTGTTTTCCTCTTTCTCTCTGTCCTCCGTACATTTTAAAGGTAGCAAAGCCTGTAGGTCTTGAGAATAAAGGACATTTGTCATCAGTCAGCTGTGGCCCCATGGGTGTCAGCGTGGGACTGTGCTCAACAGAATTTTCAGTGACAGGTTTTTTAGAAGTAGAATGGCAGACTTTTCTTCTGAGGTACCTCGGGGCTGACTTGACCTGCCCGTCTTCTGGATAGCAGCCAGCTACATTAACCATGTAGACTACCCTGGCACTCCCCGCCCGCTAGAGGTAACCACTATTCACGCTGGGTCAGTTAGCTTTGCCCGTTCTTCAGTTGAATCTCATTGTCCTGACGCCCCATGCACTCTCTTGAGTCCAAATTCTTTTGCTCAACACTATGTCTGAGCGATCTATCCGTATCACGGCACGCTTTCATGCTGCTGTTTTTCATTGCTCTGTGACCAAGGCACAATCGGTCTATTCTGTTGGTAGACATTTGGGTTTCAAATTTCTGCCTGTTATGAATAAAGCATATATAAATGTTCTTAACACAAGGATTTACAGCCATTCTTCTTTAAGTTTTTTATTAGGGTGGCAAATCATTCTATTCAACAATCCACACACATGTTGCCCCGTGCCGCTGAGTGCAATCGTCAAGTGTCACCATCCTCACCCCACACCCTCCTCGAGTTTCCCATTTCCATTTGTCCACCCTTCCAACCCCTCCCTTCCTTCCTTCTGAACTCTGTCC